CAGGGGCAGACAAGGCAGCAAAAGTGGTATGTAATGGGGAAACCTGGAATTGTGTCTCTCTCTCTCTCTTGTTTTCCTTCTCCAGGAAGTGTTTTCCTCTTCCCAATTTATCCGAATGGCGTTAAGAGTTTAATACGTATCCTGGAAAACACGGTTCCTGTCCTCTTCAGAAATAATTTCATGCTTAACTACCAAAGAAGTTTCTCTGTGGGACAGAACGTGTTTGTGTATTACTGTACAGAACAGGTTCATCCCTTTGCCCCATCCCTGGAAGTGTTCAAGGCCAGGTTGGATGAGGTTTTGGGCAACCTGGTGTACTGCACGGTTTCCCTGCCCATGGCAGGGGGATTGGAACTGGATGGTCTTTGAGGTCCCTTCCAACCCAAACCGTTCTGTGATTCACTGTAACAGCAGGAAAGCTCTCCTCGTTTAGCAGCAGGAGTGCAGAGAGAACAGACCCTTCAAAGGCCAATACCTGGGTAAAATGCAGTCTGTCTTTTCCCTGTGTAGCACTTCAGAAAATGGGGTTCTCCCTTACCAGTACTAACAAAATAATCTCTAGCTTTAAGCTATTTTAACAACTAAATATGCATGGTAATAACTGAAAAAGATCTTTTTAGGGTAACAACAGGAGCAGCGGGCAAAGTGTAATATAGCATCTGGCAAAGCAATCTTCAGGGATTGGTTGGAGGTAAAAAACCCAGCTTAAACCTGCTGTTAAATTACTGTGAAGGAGTTGGGGATTTCTAAAAGTATTTTTATCCATAATATCATTTGGAACCACCTTTTAAAAATGTTTTTATCCAAAGCATCTCATAGTGCTCTGATTTTGAAAAGACTGAAGAATGCAGTGAGCTAGAATTCAATGGTAAGCTTCCAGCAATTTTTAGTTCTTCGGTCCTGATCCTGTTCATTAAACTTGGATTAACATTTTTAGCTAAAAGTCAGCTTTTCAAGATGCCAGGTGTCTAGCTCTGGGACACTTCAGAGAGACCATTTTTTGACTAGTCTGTGTTAACAAGGTGCCTCCCTTTAAGCTCTCTTTAAATAAGTAATTTTTTCAAAATAAATTACTACAAAAAAAAAATAATTTACTGGGTTTGGCGTCCTTATTGGGAGGAAAAAAAAAAAGCGGTTCTGCTCTGTGTAGCAATATGCTGTCACATTTGTTCTAATCCATAGCTGTGAAGTTAAGATCAATAGTTTTTTATGCATAGCCACATACCTGTTATTACTGTTGTTTTTATTGCAGCAATGGTGCTAATTGGCACTAATCGAGTGTGGGACTATGTGGTGCTGATACTGCTCTGTAGCATCAGTTCCGGTGAGTATTGCAAGGAGAAAAACATTTTCATAGAAGCAGCAAGTACTTTTACTAGCAAAAAGTTTACAATTTTGTTAGCTTGGTAATGATTGAAAAATACTGAAATATACAAGCAGTTAATTACTCCAGATGGGATTGATTAATACTGACACTTAAACACAGCAAAATATGTTTTTTCCCCAACTATAGTTCCCATTTCCCTCTTTGTATGAGAAACAAATGCTGCTTGTTTCGTCTTGCTTTTATTTTACCTTTGATTATAGATTCTCCTATTTTTTCCCATTTTGAATTTTTTTTTCGGCGCACAGTTAAAGATGTTGCTGTATCTGTTGAGATTTGATGTATTTACTACGGTATGTGCCTCAAAATAGCTAGCAAAGGTTTTTGGCTGGTAAATTGCACTCACACGAGAAGTTAAATTTGGTCATCTGACGTGTGTGAGGCTCAGCCCGCACATGAAGCTCACATGTGATCCTTTATGTGTTGAGAAACCAGACTTCAGGAACAACCTTTTCAGACCTTAGTGAAAGGCTGTCAGTTGCTGCAAGTGTCATTGTAAAATGCTTCCGCAATATCTAGATGAGGGAGTCATTCTGTTCAAAAAAACAAAAAAACAAACTCAAGGAAAAAAAAAAAACTACAAAAAAAACCCCACCAAAACAAACAAAATAACAAAAAACCCTCAGTGTTTTTTCCGGGGGGGGTGTGTATGTTTGTGAGCTGTAATGCAGATACAGACGTGGTTCAGAAGTGTGTAATGCAGCTTGTATTGGTTGGCAGTGCCCATCAAACCTGTGCTTATGGCTCGTGTCTCATATCAGAGAGCAATGGGGAGGAGAACCATGGTTGTATTTTTAGATAATTCTTACCAAACTGATTGTCAGATAACTCATCTCATGATCTTCCTGTGAAATCATTACAAAATCTTTAAAACTTTCTATTCTTCTGCCTTGATTGCTGGTGGGAAGGGGGACCATGACATAACTGCTAGTGTGAACTTTGCTGGTCACATTTCT